CAGATTCTGTCTGGCTGTTTTTGCTCCGCGACTTTCATTCGGGACTTATTCAGTCGCCGAAATTTATTAAAAATGTTTTTCTGTCTTCTTTCTTTTTTTTTTCTCTCTACGGAAAAAATATATATTTAAATTATCACAACGTTTTATCGCGAAACATGTTGCGTAATTACGTATTTTCAAAAGATGATACTGCATGTGTACCGGAGCAACAGTCGCGAAATGTTGTTAAACAATTCTAAAGGCAACGATATAAATGCTGCGGCACGTTTGTTTACCTGACGGGAGGAACTCTACTTTTTAAAAGACGTCCGTCGCGCGAATGGGTCGCCAGCAAAATATCGCTGTTTGCTCCGTCGACGAGTCGGCAATCGATACCCCTGAAGTGCAGAATAAAGATACAGGAACGTTGACCTGAATATTGCAGACACATTGTTTGTTTTCATGAGGGGTTCTATGTGCGCCTTCCGCGTGTCTCTCGATATGGTGGCGTGCCTCTTGAAACATTTTGCTTTCGTGGAAGAAGCGCGTAAATGCGAATATAATTGGAAAAACAACGTCGCGCGCTTCGACGTTAGCTCGTCCTCTCGTTTCTTGATTATTCCGCAGACGTCCTCGGCGTTTTTGTGTATTAATTAATTTAACGAAGTGCAATCAATTGCGAACACGTGCGGGTGGAAACGTACTCGGCCAATTTAACGCAATCATTTGTATTTTATCTTTTGCAACCGCGTGCGCGCGCAGAGATATCTCTCGAGTTTCATTGTCATTTTCGACGTTCGATGGTTTGCCTGGAAGTTTGGCTTCAGATATACGGCGGTCTATACATAGGCTTCGCGACGCAAATTCGATTAAGGCTACATTCCAGGTTAGGTTGAGAGACGGATTTGCCGGATATCAGACGATCAAGCGGCTGCAACGACAATAGACTTACCTTTGAAAAAAAGAGAGAAGGAAGAGTAGCGAGAGAGTGAGAGGCGAGCAAGAAATTCAGTCTCGCGAGAGGCTCAAGCCTTTGATACTCCATCTTGCGTGTCCTAAACTTTCAAGGTCTATCGCGGGCGTCCGATATCGCAAGCACCTCACCGAATCCATGCTCGAGCGAAATCGACCCCGAAATTAATCGAAGAGTCTAGCTTGCGCCGGGAACTTTCAGACTTAGTCTCCGCGTCAAATTCAACCTTGCGATCCGTGAAAGAGACGACCTGAGAAGTAGGGCCAATTTTTGTGGAGGAGAGATTCTTTGGAGTTGAGCTTACTCTCTAAATTTGTTAGAATAAAATTTTATTCGAAAAGTACACTGAAAAAAAAGTTTTGCAATAAATAGTATAGTTTTATTTAACAAATTGTTTGGTGGTACGTACCGCATAAATTAGTAACAGTAATAAATAGTCATTAATAAACAGTCATTAATAAACAGTCATTAATAAACAGTAATTAATAGTCACCAAATCTTAGCAACAGGTATGAAGTCTTAGCACAGATACGAAATCTTGTTGAGATTATTTGCTAATATCTATCAAATTATTAAATCGTTTACACATTGAATTAAGACTATTTTACCAAAGCATCTGGTAACTATTATCCAAGTTTATGATTATTATTAAACTTTCTTTCAATGTAGAGTGAGCACCGAGTCATTCAAACTCGAATGATCTCATCACTCTGAATATTTTTACTCGAAATTGAAGAGTGAAGCTGACATTCACTTTAATAGGTTAAAACATTCGCCCATGTGGCGTCAAAATTCACTCTAAGCTTAAGTGAAACTCTCACTCTTGCGATTTCGAGCAGCAATATTTCCGATTTCAATTATCGCTTCGATAATTGAAAACACTTTTCATTTGTTTTGAGTGAGATTCTACTCCGAGAGATTTAGAAACTGAGCCACCGACCTTTCCCGACGACTTCTTCCTCTCGGTTGGTTAGGTCGATTTTGAAACTCGAACGCCGAGATAAAAGGCCGACTGGGATTTACCTCGTCGAATTTGCGTTTAGCGCCCCTTGTTGCGCGTCTAAACTTTCGAAACTCGTTGCCGTAGCAATTTAACGGCTCGCGACGACGCGTATTCCCTGCGCTCGATTTGGATCGCGCCGAGGAATACGATCGGGAAATAGCTTTCCCGATTGAAACTTGCATACATCATCCGACAACGGACTGCCAATCTTTCTCCGGACCGACTAGTTACATACGCTCTGAACTCTGAAACATTTTACTACTTGGGCTGTTTTCTAAATCGTGGTGCGTAAGTTTGTACTCAAGTAATTCACGGGCGTTTCGTTAATTGTTTCACTAGACGATTGCGAATTCTGTAAGTTCTGTAAGAATAACACCTTGAAGAAAAGGTCAAAATGTGAGACATAGTCTAAGTATGAGTTACTAGTATTTTGACTCTGTATGGTATGGTATTATATTTTATTAAAAAACATATGAATAATTCTTTCCAAGGCGTAGCATGTAACGAAGTTTGAGAAATACAATAAAATGTGTTTCTTCATCTTAAATCCTATATTGCTTTAGAATTACAAAGAGTAGTTCATTTTTGGATTTTTTTTCAAACAAATTTCTCTCTACTCACACTGAGAGAAAAATTATATTAAAATTAACAAATATTTCTTTGATGGGTGCCCTTAACATATTTATTTAAATCTCTTTATTTAAATCTCATTCTCTTTATTTAAATCAAATATTGTTTATTTAAATCAGGTAAACAATATTTGATTTAAACAAAGAGATTTAAGTAAATATGTTAATGGCACAAAGAAATATTTCTTGATTTTAATAAAATTTTTCTCTCAGTGCAGAAAAATATGAATAACTAAAAATCCAATCATCTTGGAATCATTCCCTTTAAAACAAATAGACAGCCCACTTGTTTAATATATCATATTACATTCGTCCACAATAAACATTTTACGATATAAAGAAACAAAATGATATCTCATACATGGACTTCTTCCTCTATCTTTTTTTTCTTGTCAAAAGGAAGAAAGCGACGTCGCAGACAAACGAGACTTTTACGGAAAGTTTCACAAGAGATTGGTAGATAGACAGCAAAAAAGAAAGACAGAGAGAAAGAGAGAATCAAATAGAGAAAGATGCGGAAAGTTGTGGCATATTAAACGAAGGTAGCCCGGGCTGTTACGCGGCTGTCAAATCGCAGCTGTCGATCCCGGGGACAAGGAGGAAAATGAAGGACTCTTCGTGCGCGCGCGCGAGAGCGACCGAGTGAACGCGTCCGCGAACGGCTTTTCAACGGTCGATATTCGGCCGTTGGCGGATCTGATCGGGAAATAGCTTTTCCGGCTGATGAGACTCGCGGTACGAACAATACGCTGCCAATCTCCCCCGTTGGCGATCGAGCAAGGGAAAAGAGAAGCACGTACGTGCGTCGAGCCGCTTGCGAAAGCGGGAATCGTGTGATGACGTAGTAGTTAACGGTTGCCAAATGGCGTGTAACGGGAGAAGCGGAGGAACATTTGGCTTCCTGAGAGAGAAATGTGACACATTTATTATTATTATGACACATTCGGACTATATCGAGTACAGGGATTACGATTTGTTTAACCTTCAACAGCCTTTGAGTCGCGATACATTTGAGTTTCGCTTGTGACGTTGCGGATATCGCTGCGGGAAAGTATTTAAGCGCGAATATTTCAATAGTCGATAGCACAATGCGTTTGAGCACATAAACATATTCACAGAAAAAGGAACTTTATTTCACAGAAACTTTATATCCCACAAATCAATTTCCAAGTATTTCTTCTCAGTGTATTATCCGGGCTTAATGGCTATTGCCAAATCTTTTCTTCAGTGTGGTGGTGACCGCGTTTATGTCGTCACGATTGTCGTCTGCTGTTTGTGAGAAATTAATTTTCGCAATTTGATTCGTACGCGATTGACGGTGCTATTACGACACAATGAAAATCTTTTGTAAGCTCAGTGTCGTTATATCGCTCTTCCCATTTATCGCTGCGACTGTTACTATTTTTCGCGGATATTTCACGATTTACACATCGCACATCAGCATAAAACTCGCGAGACGACGGCTCTTTAACGCGCGCTGGGCGAATGCAATCTCCATCGACGAGAGAATGAGCAATAGGAATCGCCAAGTGCTTGTTCATCAAACTCTCGCTTGGCAGTGGTCCACTCCCGTCGATGGGGTTGGCGCCGTTTTATAGCGCGACGCGGTATGACGATGACATGATTCCGCGTGAGAGAAGCAACGGGGATATTTAGCATTTTCTAGCTCGTTCGAAGGCAACGCTTTCTGGCAGTGCGATTGCATTATCGATCGCATTTCCTCGGTGAACGGTGACGCTGTTCGGATACAATGAGCGATTTCATCGTTCGCACCATCGGGGAGCGGAAATTTTTGCAGGGCGGAGAAACACGCGGCCGTGCTGTAAATTGCGGGTGGCAGGTAGGCGGTCTCGATGTCGACAAGAAATCGATTCTTCGTTTCTGAGGCGCGTCTGCTTAGGCACGATAATAAGCAGACAGCCACTCTCACCAGTCATTTTTTAATTTGACATAGTTTTTATGCCTGGTCTCTCTCTCTTTTTCTCTTCCTCTCTCTCTTCCACTTGATTTATGATGATTTATGATAGTTTTCAGAGATGACTGTTTAATATTGTATGGTCAAATCGTCGAATAATCGTGAAATATAATTTGAGTCACGGTACACATTCCAAGACACGTGTTGTCATTTCTCTTCCTCGTTACTTTTTTCTCGCACGCGCACAATTGTTACCCTTTCCCTTTAATGTTGTTCTCACACAATCAACAGTCGCCCCACTCATTCTCCCGTGTCCTTTCGAGCTATTGGACACGCACTTACACACGCTCTCTCATCACTTATAACAAACGCGCGCTGACGGTCGTCCTCTCTTTCAGTGTTGCGATATTCAAGAGCTCGGTTCGCGTTAGCGTTAGTTCTCGTTTAGCCGTGATTTTCTCATGTTTGATCAAGTGTGTACGAAACGTCAGTGGTGAAAAAGTGAAGGCGCGTGGGTGCGCTTTCGGAATGGGTAGGCTTTAGTGAATAAAATCGACGTCGCGCAGACAGCACAATGAAGATCAAGGGGCGAAAGAAATGGAAGTAAGTTTCCTCGCGACCGCGCGCGCGATCAATTTTATCTCGTCGCAGTCGCGTCCGAGTTCGAGGGATCTTTCCGAACATTTTGCGCGAACTGAATTACTTTCGCAACTTCGAGGTATCTTGAAATTTCAGTGGTTGGAAATATACAATCTGAAGCGCTGTTTCTCCCGCGGGAGCATTGGTTTCGCCTCTGGGTAACGATCATGTAACTTTTTGTTTAAAAGCGGATACGTGACCAGTGAAAAGTTTCACCCCAACGACTTTAGCGATCATGTATTTTTTGGAACAATAGAAATGTGACATTTTTCATTTAAAATTTTTCATGAGTTTGTACCAGGGAAAAAGATGCATGATTGACACTCTGAGTGAAGGACAATTGAATTATTTTTTAGATGCCAAAAATATAACTCACAGTTAGTACTAAGATAAAAAAATATCAATTTCCATGCACGTACTTGCGTCCTGAACACTCCTATTGTTTTGGTATTTAAATGCAAATATTTAAACTTTCAACACAACAAAAAATATATATTGAATATATATGTATATTCTATGTTAAAAACTTAAATATCTTTACTCTCTTAAAGTATGTGAATTAGTATGTAAAAATATTTCTGATGGAATCTAATAAAAGCAATATTCTACCGATAATATCAGTGAGTAATTAACTGATTTTAAACGGAAACACTCCTATTTTACTGTTTATCATATATCTCACTGATATTGACTGAGAGTAAAATTTTATCGCGAGATCCGTACACAAATTCGTTGTACTCTCTGCCAATTTTCCGCGTTTGTAGCGAAGAAATTAGCGTTTTCCATGAGCTTTGCGTGCAATGTCTGTATTTATAAACTGGGTCAATAATAGGAACAGTCGTTATACTGTTAATTAATCAGCAAAATTAGTTTCAGCGAGACTTTACTAATCATAGTGCTATACTTATAACTGAACCAGCAGTTACGAGTTATTAGTTATTTTGGTAAAGAGTACATTGATTGTGTACTTCAGTGAGTAGTTAAAGACCAAAACAATAAGAATGTCTAAGATTAGATACGTAGCCGGGAATGAGTATTTTTATCTTAAGAGTGACAATCGAATTGCGCGTCAATCAAGTTCGCTTCATGAGCGTTCCTTGACACTTTCGATCCTCCCGGCTCTTCGGAATCGACGTGTCGAACATGTCCTCTTCACCGCCGAAAGCGGAACACGTGTCTTTTACATTGCCTCTTTCTCCTAGGAAACACGCAGCGCGCTTATGTGGATACGTACGAGAATAAGCGCGAGGATGAATCGGAGGTACAATGAATTCCGTAATGATCGATCGAAAAGGCCGAAATTCGACTCTTCATTATTATTTCGCTCGCGTCACACGCGTCTTTTCCCGCTGTCCCTCTTTCTGTTATTTCTGACTCACCTCTCGTATATCACCCTATTTCGTCTTAGCTTACAATTTATCCTCAACTTCCACCTACCTTGGAAGCTCTTCCACTTCTCGTCGTGAACAGCTGAAGTGAAACTGAAGTTCACGAGACTGAAGGAGTAACTGTGAAATAACGTTATAATGAAAAATATACTCGGGGCCGATTAATTAATGTAATTAATTTACTCTCTGAAATTCTGCGTTTGAAAGTGCGCCACATTTATTTAATGTTGAGATTAGCTTCTTATTTATTTATTTTTAGAAGTTCTCCATACTTGCGTCGTGGAACTCAAGTTCACGAAGTAACTCGTTCATCTACTTATTGGAATTGCGTGGTATATGAAAATCGGATTTCGCTTCCGTGCCTCGCAAAAGTCGTCTTTCGGAATGTCGAAACTTTTTCTTTCTCCTTTCTTCTTCTTTTTTCTAATTAAAAGCTGATTCCCGTCGGAGTTCGCGAAAAGTACTTTTTGCGATCACTTGTAACGTAACCACTCGTCATCTGGCTCTCAAACATGTTTGTATTTCCGTTACGATTATAATCGAGGTAAATTTAATTTAATTTATTTTATAGCTGTTACAACAGCGATTCGACTCGGAAAATTATTCGCACCACTTCCGCTATGATTCGCATCCAAAGTCACTAGTTTTTGTTTACTGCAAACTTAGAGACACTCGCGACGAGAGACGAGATAGTTTGCAGCCTCGAGAGATCCGCATGATATAAGAGAACCAGTAAATATGAAATCAAGGCGACGCGCTTTAAATACGAAAAACACGGGAAGCTTTTCTCTCTCAGATAGAATAACGAGACGCGCTCTGTTGAACCTTTATTTCCCAGCGAGTGCATCGCGACGACACCTCGAATCTTCCGGGTTCTTGAGCTCGTCGTGGCGAAAGAACACAGCGAGGGCGGTCAGGGTCAAGGAGAATTAATTGCACGGTATAGTCGCGGGGCTGTGAGAAATTTGCCGGCTCCAATGCGCTTGTGGAGTGTGCTGAATCTCGATGACGATCTGTAACGTGCGTTAAAACGATTTTCAAAAGACTCGATTCACGGTGGGCGGCAGAGTTAATCAAACGTTGGCAGCGAGCCGATAAACGACCGTGAGATTGCGCTAATCGTTTCTGGAGCACGCATCCACGGCGCGGTCGTTTGACGATTAAACGTCGGCGCGTGTACCCGCGGCAATTCTGCAACGCGACGTTAACGAGCGTCTGGCATGACGTTATGCTTTCGAGACACAATACGACGCGTGTCGGCTTTCGATGTAGTCGACTGGTCAAGATTGTGTTATACGTGTTCCGAAGATTGATCGTGCGCCGTGGAGTGACGTAATTACCGCGTATGAAGCCTCGCTGTACACGCGTTCCGTCGTCGACGAAATTCACCTCACGCCGTGGTGTTCTTGCGATATAGCGGCTGTGAAGGCTCGTAACGTGCTGCTTACGATATTAAGCTGGTAAATGCGCGCGCGATTAAATCTGGAAATTATACACACGCGCAATGTGAAATTGAAATTATCGGGGATGCTATATATACAGAGGGTGTTTGAGGATTATCGACATATGTTGCGTGCGCCGGGTAGAACTCATCAAAAGCTGAGGAACACGAAATTCCTGTATCATTTCGCAAACAACCGCGTAAAATTTTGATTTATTAATCAAGGAAGATTGCTGAATTATCATGCGCGATATGCAAGTAGATCAGCTGTGCTTGCATAGGTTAAACTGAATAAAAAAAGACTTCTATCATTTTGCAGATGACTATATGAATGTTTAGTTATCAATTAAAGAAGATCGGTGCATTATTATGCATTATTATTCAATTGATGAATAAAATGTAGATAAAAATACGTTGTTATTTATGAAGTGGTAGAGAACTTTCCTCTTGTTTAGTTTGACCTAGTGTACAATCTTCCCAATTTCTTTAATAAATAATTAAAAATTTCATGTAGTTGTTTGCGAAATAATGGAGAAATTTTATGTTCAGTTTCAAGTCCACCAACCGAAGTTCTACCAACACACAACGGATATGTCATCAGTAACGATCAGATATCTTGTGCATAGTAACGAGTTACATTGTTCGCTTGTAATAAGAATTCGTCGGTTCTACAGTCGCGAGAGTTACTTCAAGAATTTTTTATTATCTTATTACAACGAGATAATGACGAGACGGTCGTCTTTATTTCTGCGTGTTGAATCATCGCACAAAGAATTGTTTTCCATGCTATCACCATTATGTTTCCAGAGTCATTGGCCTCGATATTTTTTTATAGGAACTAAATATTCCTTAATGCTAGTTGTATGTATGTGTGTGGCTATTATGTGCATGCGTGATATTTTGCTTGGCATCGATACTCAAAGGCGATCGAGCTAACAAGTAAACCTACGCAAAAGGTACGCTCCCATTTCTTTCTATCTTGGCACAAATGTAGAAGTACAAAAAATATTTAGGTTATATTTTTTCATTTTGGCTTTTGAGTTTCACGGGTAGTTTATAGCTTTTTAATGTTCTCACTTCTATTATCAACAAAAATGCATAAGAAATAACATTGAATACAAGATATAATTAAATATTTTTAACAAAATTGGCATAGCTGAGACACGAACTATTTTAAATTTCTTTAGCCGAGATTTCAACCGAAATATTTTAATCTGTGCTAAATTAGTCAAAAATAGTTCGAATCTCGGTTAAATCGAGAAATTATTAGTATTATACAAGTAATTTGTATTATACAAATAATTTCTCGATTTGGCTGAGATTCGAATCATTTTTGACTAATTTACCACAGGTTTAAAATGTTTCGGTCAGAATCTCGGCTAAAAAAATTTAGAATGGTTCGTGTCTCAGCTTTACCGATTTTGTTAAAATTATTTAAATATATTTCGTATTTGATTTTATTTTTTGTACATTTTTATTGTATTTGTTGATGATGTATTTGTTGAGGAGTGAGAACATTAAAAAGCTAAAAACTGCCCGTGAAACTCAAAGTGGGTCAAAATAAAAAATATGGCCTAAATATTTTTTGTACTTCTACATTTACCAAATTAAAAAGAAATTGGAGTGTATCTTTTGGGTAGGTTTATCTCTAAAACGCTAAACGTGGCTAAAGTTTATTCGGATCAACTTTTCCAACTTATCGTTTTTAAAGATGTGTTTTGTTTTTTTTTATTATAATTTTTCAGATTTCGTTGAATCATAAAAACATTAATAGATTTATATTCCTCGATGTTTACAGTACGGATTAGAAAAGAAAAAGCGTTGAATTTTGATCATTTTCACGGAAGTCATAAGTAAGAAAATGCCCTAACAAGGAAACCCACACAAGTGTGCGCTTCCGATTTTCATGAACTTGTAATATATTGTACTTTAGATCAAAATAACAGATACGTTTTTTATTATATATGCCTTTTCGCAAGTTTAGGTGGTGAAATACCCCTTTGAAGAAAATCGGTTTTTTTCATACTAAGGGAATATAATGAAAACTATAAGAGATAGAAAAAATATTTTGAATAAAAATTGAATGGTTTGAAAAGTATTCTATATAAATTATTTGAAAAAAAATTTTTTGGTTA